AAAAAACACTTGGTAAAGAGAGACTAGAAGCTTATACGTCAGCAACAACTTGTGGAGAAGTTTTAAATGTAATCTGTTAATATTATGGCAGATGAATGGGTGGCATAGACCTACCTTTGCTTCGTGCTCCATGGTAACGATGACTTTTGATGGACAGGATACAAGATCCATAGCACCTCCCATACCTTTTACCATCTTTCCCTGAATAATAGTGAATAAAAAACATGAAAACGAAGAAGAAGATTAAAGAAACGACTAACAAGCGAACAAATAGAGACAGGGAAAATAAGGTGACAGGCGAGCTACAGTGTTGAGGGGAGGGACGTTTAGAGAAAGAAAATTGAAGTACATAAAAAAGATCAGTAATGTAATTGTTTCTATGTTGCACACTGAGGAGAACTATATTGAGATAGATATAGAATCCAAAGATCTTTCCATCTAAAGCTTCGTGATGGTTTTCTTTTTTTTTTCGCATTTTTCGTMCTTCCCTATCTTGTTTCTTCACCCCGTTTTCCTCCATTTTTATTACTTACAATTTTCTAATTATTGTGTCAAATTCTTCTATTATTCTGATTTATATTTTCAGCACTAGTAAATAATTCTCATTCTTTTCAACAGTATTTATCTATTAACTGTTACCGAAATTTCTATCCCATTCTATTTGTAATCTATTCAATACTCAATCATTTTCTCTATTCATTTTACTAATATGAACTGTAATCCAATGGCCTACACCTTTATTAGTCCTTTCTATTTGTAGGCCAATTGAATCATGAGAACGTATATATTTAAAATAGTAATAAATTGAAATTGAAATTGAAATTGACATAAAGCTTGAAAACGAAAATGAAGAAAGAGAAAGAGAGAACAAGGAATATTGTAGAGAACTTACTGGGATCATATAATTAGCTATGTCTCCAAACTGAGAAACCTGCATCGCGCCAAGGATCGTCAAGTCAATGTGTCCTCTACGAAAATGAAAAACAATTATAATCAAATGTTCGAAATTTCTCAATATACGCCAAAATAAACTGTTTCTAAGTTGAACTGAAATCGGTACATGAASGRACATAAACGGCTTACCCGCGTATCATAGCAAAAGACTCGTCGCTTGAGAAATACGAACTTCCTGGTATTACAGTGACTGTTTCTTTGCCTGATAAATGAAAAAAGCATATAAAGCATTGACTTATTTTTCGGTTGCAATTGAGAGTTTAAWTCAATKTTGGAGGCAATTTCTAATGGCCCCTGTTAACAGTTTTWTTCRGGAATCCTAAATATCYCAAAATAATAGTTCACAGTTTTTAGACAACCTTCAGTCGTTTGAGTACTCTCCTTTTTTGATTCAAGAAAACAGCAAAAAAGATCAAAGAAATGTTGTCAAATTGATAGGCATACCTGCATTGATAAGATCAGGATCTTCTTCGCCAGGTCTAGGRAAAGGTCCCTGTACAAAGAAATTTATTGACTTTTCAAAACAGAGTATAATACGCATTAATGGAAGGAAAATCTACACAAAACCACTTCCCCCTCATTTGTCAACAGATGTCCCTTTTACGCGGAGATTCACAAAGCAACATTGGAAAGACTGCCTCTTTGGTGATGAGACAAAGATGCATCGATTATTAACATTCACACCCATGGCAAAACCCACCTATAAAAAGCGGGAGAACATGCACGACTGCATCACCTAATTTTCCCGTCAATGCAAAACCATTGATTATTACGTATTATTGTTCACGTGTTCCAAATTACAACTTTGCAAACATATTCAAACACATATTGGCAACGCATAAGCAATCATTTTCTCGATAAATTTACCAGTCCTAATATTCCATTTTCACTTTGTAGATGTACGGTCATTCCTTCGGGRATATAGTTACTAGCCAACATAGGCATCCCAATGCCGAGATTAGCTACCAACWGTCAAGGAAAGTGTGACGACATAAATTCAAAGAATTAAGGGGGCTGTAACCCCGCGGGGGTACTCCCTAATGAAAAAAGGCGGGTTTCCTCGTCGTCCCTTTTAGGGTTTGAAATCAGTGCTTTGGTCCCGCTTAGGATGATAATGACGAGAATTCCCACGTACTGAGTTTTGTGGTCCCTTTTAGGGTATACGACGACCTTAAGCCGTCATCATATATTTGTATATGACAACGTCGTCATAAACTCAATACGATCCAAGGGCGTTTGATGCTTGTGCAAAAACACAAATAAAATCGGGAAACCAAAACAAAATAAGCGTTTATTGATTGGTCCCTCTTAGGGTTGAAATTTTAGCGCTGCCACGCCCATCATCTCACAATACAGGTCCCTTTTAGAGGTCATTTTCAGAATTTTCGACGAGGGCCCCGCCCTTTTTTATAAGGGAGTCCCCCCGGGGGACGTGATAAGTTTTTTGTTAAAGGATACCATACATATCATCTTTAAACTCTTTAGCTGCTCTTTGGATAATTCTCTCTCTCATTTCCATACCAGGCGACTTGGCCTCGACAGTACAAGCATCGTTATCTTTTGTTAGGGTGAGTCGCTGTAAGACAGAAGAGTAAAGAATCCAATTTTTTGGGCAAAATAACTGAGAAGTTTTAACTTCTTATCTTTAAAAAGATCTGCTTGAATAATTTGTCCGCATGCTATTTCCTGGTGACTTCGTTGATAGTGCGCCCTTGTACGATAAATTTCGTCGTTTGTTTATTTTGTGTGGAATTGTAGAAGTGTAGAATTTTAGGGAGTTGCCTTAAGAGGAGGGGCAATGCGCATTGCCTGCATCACGATGAAAAGCCTCATAAATGCAAATCACTCCAGCTCATGCTAATCACACAAAGAAAGTGCGCTTCTGCTTTTCTCATTCTGTATTTAATATTTTTTAGCTCGTCTTCATGATACTTATGAATTAATAAAATACAACAAAAATAGAGAAAATAATTTCATAAAAGGAGAGGATTAAGCTGAATTTATACTCAAAATGCTTACTTCAATTCTTTTCTCATAATTTTCTCCCTTGACGACACGATCAACATAAACGCTAGGTACATGGATATCTTCAGCTGGTATTTCACCATTTTCAACAATYTCTTCAACCTAAAAAGGCAACATAAAGCTGAACATTTATATATTTTGCAGATATTTGACTGTTTCCAAATATATAATAACACATGAAAGACAATCATTGAATATAAAAAAGATGTATTCATAAGGATTACTAATTATGCTTYACAACTAAATAACATAGTCGACCTACTTCAGCAATTGTGATTTTAGCAGCTTTAGCCATAGGAGCATTAAAGTTACGTGCTGATTTCCTACAAAACATGAAATAAATAAWGTCAAAAAAAAAGGAAAAAGGAAAATCCTGTAAAAGAAAGTATCATTTAATAGGATTTGAACAAGCAAACCTGAAAGTCAGATTTCCTGATTTGTCGGCTTTCCAAGCCTTTACTAAGGCAAAGTCACCGGTTATTGCTTCTTCCATGATGTAATTCCGGCCTTGAAATTCCTTGGACTACAAACATGACAAAGACATTATCCATGGGTAAAGACTAGGTAATTTAATTTTCTCACTAAGAGGTAGAAAAAATTGGTATTTTTGAGGGTGTTCTATTAGAAACTTAGTAAGACTTCCAAAACCATACAGCACAGCACCTACATTATACATTGAGTCATTCAATTTAGTAGTGAATACAAGTACCTCTCTGGGTTTACTTGGTATTGCAATAGAGCCATCAGGATTATACTTGATGGGTGCACCACCATGATGAACAAGTGTACCATAACCAGTTGCTGTAAAGAATGCTGGGATACCTGCACCACCTGCTCGCACACGCTCAGCAAGAGTACCCTGCGAGGAGACAAATACACAAAGGAAATATTAGCCATCTTTCTACTGTCAAGTCACTGGGAAAAAGGTCACAGACAAGTTCCTGCAGTGGATCTCTAATGTGCTTACTGCAAAGTCAATTCAAAAGGAAGTTTTGATCCCTGCTACAGCAACAAAATTCATGTACCAACAATGYGTTCTTGGTCTGTTTTATGTTGTGCTTTCCCAATAGGAAACAATCCAGAAAAAGACATATTGGATGAACAAATAAGAAACAGAAAACTGAAAATTGTCACCACTGAATTTAAAAATGGTAGCACAATTCTTTTTAGACTGATTCTATAAGTCGTAGTATATACTCCTCGATTTTTCAGTGTGTCTCTCAAGAGCAAAAAACGAGCGACCTGACAGACTGGTGGAATCAGTCTAAACTATTTTTAAAAATTCAAAATATTACAGTAAATGTGTGAATAAGTAGAAGATATATGACAATGAAATATATGGATACTGGTTAAATGAGAAAAGAAAAAACAGCTAAAAATGAATGGCATTAGGGATTACCATAAAATAGAAAAGCAATTTTAGATTTATGCAAATTAGCTAGTTTTTTGTCCTTTTTTAAAAGTCTTCTCGTAGATAAGCCACACCCTCGATTTTGGAACAATTTTTTTGAAAAAAAAAATGTGGCTTATACATGAGTAAATACGGTAGATCATTAAAGAAATGCTAAACAAGTGAATAAATAAGCAAAACCATATTAGCTATACTTGTAGCATTAAAAGAAATTAATTAAACAATAAGGGAAATGAAAAAACTAAAGCAAACCTGAGGCGTAAGCTCTACTTCAAGTTCCCCTGACATGTATTGACGAGCAAACTCAGCATTTTCTCCCACATAAGATGAAATCATTCTCTTGATTTGTCTTGTATTGAGTAACAAACCAAGGCCAAAGTCATCCACACTACAAGAAATGAAATAATTCATGACACAAGCCCACAATTCACCTAGCAATTGATAAAATCAAAATGTTAAACCATTAATGGCAAATCACTCAAAAGAAAAGGAGGGCAGAATTTCTTCAGCTACATACAAACAAATTGAAAAACTTTGTCTGCTCATAATGTAACATGTACTTGTGTAACAACCAACTTTCAGCATATCTGAATGGATACTTTCCAAAATGACATTGCATACTGCCAAAACCAGCATGCTTTGCACACTTTCTTTTGAATAACAAAACATGATGCGCACTTCTTATAGCCCCTAAAAAATCTTTCTGAAAGCCATTTTTATGTTTCCTTTGTAGAAACTGTACAACTACTGTTTTTGCATAGAAAAAGCAAAAATGGCTTAGGAGGCCTAATAAGCAGACAAGTGCAGGGTCTGAAAATTCAACCATACTTTGTTGTGCAATATTGATTCCTGCACATTGGATCATCTTATAAATTTCCAGGATTAAAAACTGAATAAGTCGAATGAAAATGATAACCATCGTGGTTTAGAACAATGCATCTGACCAATTTAGTTGTTGAGGTTTATTACAAACTTAATATACAGTCATTACAATCCCATTAACATTGTTCAGTGTTCAGTTGTAAAAAAGACATAAAGACATGTATGGAACATGTACAATGTACGGAACACGTACAAAAGCATTTACCAGTCTAAAAAAGATTCATTTGTGAAACACAGTGATCCCAAATAGACAGCAAAGGAGACTTACCCAGCATTGTTGCTCACACAAGTAAGCTGCTTTATACCTGACTTACGGAGAGCGCCTATCAAGTTCTCAGGAATACCACAAAGACCAAATCCTAATATTTGACAATAAATGAAATAAATAAATACAGCAATATGCAGAAATTATGATCATTTTGACTCATACTCCAGTACATATAAAATACATCAGAAATTATGGATAACATCACCATATATACATATTGGTGATGATACAGTCTTTTGCGAAAATTATGAGAATTGTCTAAATTATCTAAATATCATAATATCCATATACATATATTGTCCGGAACACGCGGGTTTGCTAGAATAATTCATTGTTGACATCGAGAAAATGTTCAGAACTACGGATAAGTACGTCGCCAAAAAAAAAACTAAACTACAAAGACAAGGGCTAGCATCGCCTGGGATTACCCATCATGTACTTGATATTATGATATTTAGATATTTCAACAATTCTCATAATTTTTGCAAAAGGCTGTATACCATAATTTCTGATATATTTTATACTTGAAATATGAGCAAAAAATCATAATTTCTGCATATTGCTGTAAAAAGATTATAATATAATATTATATATTTAATATTCAAATAACTAGATACCTACATGTGCAAAAGGAAAGAAATAGGCAGAATAGATTTATTGGAATAGAATTGATACAGACATAAATGTGAGGAAAGAAAAATGAAACAATGGAAGAAATGGGACAGATAGGATAAAAAGGAATGAGATTATAGGTTGGGATGGAAGATGGGATAAAAAAATAATAGCATAATATAGGACAGGACAGAAAAGGATGGGATAAGAAATGATAGGGTAAATAGAATAGAAAGGGATGGTATAGAATATATGATAGAAAAGAAGAGATAGGATAGCTTTGGATGGAATAAAATGAGACAGAATAGGAATATAGGATCCTAAAGGATAGAATGTGTTATTACAGACACTACAGACAATAGCATAGGATAACAGTTGTGAAATAAGATAAAAGCACKGACATTTTGGACATAATTCCTTTGTCGTAGTAAAGTAATGGCACTGGCCTAGTACTATAAATGTGAGTTTACATAATGAAAGGAGAAAAGAGTGGACCAATAGGATAGGATAGCAAAGGTTAACAGAATGTGATGCAGTGTATGGTCTGTTTATTATATAAACTCAAATTTATATCTATACCATATTTACTCGAAAAGACGCCACCCTTGAATAGATAACAACCTCAAATAGATGCCGCACTTAAAGCTCWAAATATAGACGCCGCCCCCTAATAGTGTGTCTATTTGAGGAAATAATGATACCAGCAATGGGAATTTATTTTCGTTTAGAAYATTTTTTATTTTGAAGTGACTGTCCCTTTTTGCTCTAAGCAGCTGTTAGATTCTGACTACAAGGAGGACAATGGTGTTGAAATAGAAGTTTAACTCTGGTTAAAATCATATATTGAATAGAATAGACAAAATGAACACGACATTTATATATTGAGAATCGTTACTGTTTGTTAGTAAAAAGATACAATATAAAGTACGGTATGTAGTACTGAATAAAGTGGGTTTTTTTTAATAAACGCCGCCCCTGAATAGACGCCACCCTCGAATAAACGCTGCAGCTGGATCATGAAAAATGAAATAAATGCTGCGGCATCTATTCGAGTAAATACGGTAAGGCAAAAAGTAGTACAATTTTGTACAGAGTATTCATAATATAGTAACATGTTATTTTCACATGTGAAACAACATTGATATTTTGATTCACATAAGAAGCTATTTCATTGAAGTTTATAGATGTATTATTAAAAAAAATGAAATTCATGAAACCACTAAAAAAAATTCCACAGTGGTTTTCCTTAACTCTGGAAAAAAGTRAGTTCATTTGTACTTAAAAAGACTTTTATAAGAAATTTATAAATACAGTATCCAATACCTCCAACAAGCAGAGTTGAATTACTTGGCAGATCACTAATAGCATCATCAGCATTATCAAAGAACTTTGCTAGCTTGGAAGTACTTGTGGAAAACTAACAAAYATTAAATAACCACAAAATATATCAACAAATAATTTTATGATCAATGTTCAAATACAATGCTTGTCCATGCAGTTTTTTTACATCAATCTCTTTTGTGAATGCTTAATTAATTATGTTCTTGAAAAATTGAAAAAAAAGAAACCTAGTATAAGTACCTAGCGTTAATGTATTTTCTTTGGGAAATGAAAACTAACTGTAAAAAGGCCCCATAAAAATAATACAATGAAATGTGTACATCCAGAAAATGTGATTATGTGATTCCTGTGTTAAATCAAAAAAACCTCCAGTTCTTCTCGGTCATGATTATGAACACAGGAAGACCAAGAAGAGAATAATGTCTGTTTCGGTTATGGAGTAGCCTATGAAGGAGGCTAGATGTATCCAGATCCTCATCAGTTTCCCAATATGGAAATTGAATAGTCTCATTCTGTATGTACATATTGAACAGCCCAGATTCTGGGTAATATGGTATCGTCTCCAGCCAGAGCCTTTGATTTTCCTTTACCATTTACCCCAAACCTCATGGGATTTTTAAAAATTCTCTTGGTGGTAGTCTCCTTTGCAGGCTCCCATTTTCTCGGGCTTCCTGTGAGGGACAGGAAGCCAGACAAACGGGAGGCTGCGAAGAAGACTATCTTGGTGGGGTATTCTATATGATTCAAGTCCAATTGAATAAAAAAGATACATATCTGCTAATGGAATGATATTTCGTATTTTCTGAAAAATTACCGGATGTCAAACACTGTGATAACTTGAAACGACTTAAAGTAAGAATTAACAACACGACAGACTTTTGCACCTCATGCAAATTTTATCACGTGTATTCGGTGTCTTAAATTTTCRCGTAAAAATTTTATTTTACCTTTGCAAAAAAGTAGGGAAAATATTTCATCAAAAGCTACATACCCTATAAGCCTTTGGCGAGCAGATACTGCGACTAAACCGTCGAAAAACAGAACTGGAACACCACAACTTGGACGCCATGTTTTCTGASCTCCGTTTGAGCCGACTGTTTTTTACAAAGCGGTTACTATTTAGAGATATTACGTGACTAGGGCGTGACAGTGACCTAAGGTCACATTATTAACACCAGCGGCATAACGCTAGAACAACAATGCAGTAAAAACAGGTTCTTAAATAATTGTATATTTTTTTAAGAATATGATTAATTTTATAAGAACCTGTTTCAGCTTTTAGGCTAAATAGGCTAAAAGCATAGCACTGTGACACAATCAAGGAAATGCAAAACACAAAACAGGSCAAATGAAGTAAAAAAAAATGTTTTTAATTCTGTGAATGTATTTATTTTCTTATATATTTTGAGCATTGAAATATTCACATTCAATTTAATTTCCTTATTGAAAAATTGATCAATATAAATGGTMCCTGCCAAGCTTTGCCATCCAAGTGATGAAGGATTTTTGGCAATTTTATACATTAACACTTGAATCTGACTAACATCTATATCATGGAAAAATACATTTCAATACAATTTAAACATTTTTATACAAATAAATTCAAACTCTTATTTATAATGCCATGAACACATTAAACTTGTGAAATGGAATTTGTGAATATACTATTCAYATCCAAAGTTGCTATTTCCATTTCACTTGTTCATCTACTATAATATATTGATTCTTGATTTCTTAATAAAGATTTCACAGGTTTTATGTACTCGCTTTCTACAAGAGTACTATAAACTTACTGTTATTTACTATTCGTACAACATAGTACATATTTTCTTTAATTCACACATTTCTATATAATCTATAATTTCCTATTTTCCCCTACTTAACTAATATAATATTTATCCAATATGTGCAGGAGACAAGGCCTTTTTAAAAACTGCTCACCTTCAGCTCACATAAAGGTTGTAAGTGAAGACATATGGCTTTATCAAATTCCAACATAAATTAATTTGAAGCATATTTGCCATAAACATAAAGATAAAATATTATTATTATTTTTAAGAGAAAACCTGAGTTAAAATTGTATACAAATCAGGACAAATTTCTTTCAGTCGTGGCAATGATTTTCCATTGTTTACCTAATGAATTATTATAAAAATGATTTTGATAAGGAATTTTATAAACACGCTCACAAATATTATCRTGACATTTGCCATTACACCCTAACAAAGTTGAGACATAAACAAAATGTATTTTACTTAAAGGCCCACTTGTGACCAATGAGCTTCACAATCATGTTTTGTCAGATGTTAAAACTTACTTTTCAATTTGTTGGAAATCTACCCTGAAGCACCCACAATGTAATCCTTGTAACAAAAATTTTGGAAAATGAAAAGATTTAAGCAAAGGGTTCTTGGATGCAAATTTTGAACAAATGTGTTGCTGGTGAGGTCTTTAATGGTTATCAATTTATGTGCTTAGTGTTCAAACAATGTCCTTTAGAGCTTTATCCTTATTTTCATTTGATTTCTCTGTGAACCAATCAAGTCTTTGCCATACAAATATAAAAGCAACAAGAGTACCCAAAAGAAAACCAGCCAAAACATCTGACCAATGATGTTTGTAGTCACTGACTCTGGATAAACCACARAGCAATGCAAGARTTATTGGTACTAGCTGTAGTAGTGGTTTCATGAAAAGGCTTGATGATATGGAAACACGTGCTTGGATGAATARAGCTAGAAACACCATTGTATATGCTATAACAAAAATACATCACATCACATCGTATTCTGAGATATAAAAGCATCACTACTCCTAAGGGTCACTGTTCTTGATCCTGCATCATGGAAAAATATGTATGTTATGGATAAACACCACCAATAGCAAATTAAATTTCAAACATATTTAATCTACTGCGTTAGATTTTGAATAGAATTATTATAATTATTATAACAACAGAAAATAATAGCTGATGYTTTTATATGAACACAACAACAAGCGAATCAGTTGTTTGAGACTAATGACAARTGCATGTTGGTAAAAATGAACACTTAAAATGATAATCCATCTAATCTGTCTCAATTTTGTCATAATTGCTATGCTGCAGCAACAATTAATATTGTGAGTAGGTACGACTAAGGCAATGATGAAGATAGTGATGACAACCTTTGTGACACAATGTATGCTAGAGCGAATTTCGTATGAGTGGGAAACGGACGGTACTGTACTGTGACCGTAATCGTACTGTAACCAAATTCTAGTGCCCCATTGGTTCACCAGAATTGTGCAGGCCAGGTGCGTTAACTGTGCAGTAACCATGCGGTAATGGTGTCCCACTCATACGAAATCCGCTCTAAGTGTCCATATTATGACAGAGCATAATATCAAAAATTATTAGATGCTGGCATTAAGACATAAGAATTTATTGATTGGTACCCAATCACAAATTTATATGTTCTAGTTAGATATTGGTTAGAGGGTCTATTTCACTTGGGAAATGAATTGGAAGATAATATACAGGAAAGCTTGCAGGAGGGAAAGGGGCGAGGGGGAGGGTGGACATGTGAATATGGGACATGGTTCCAGAGGTTCTGCAAACGCCAACTTCTGTGACAAATTCTTTGAAATGATTTGCCAAATCAATAGTGTAAAGCATTATCGGATAGCCCAACRGTTTGTTTGGAGTTAATCTAAAACAACATTTATGTGCAATTTTGAAGTAAATCGATTTCTTATTCACAGTCGTGAAACTGCAAGATAAAAGAAACTGGAACCTTCATCATGAAACCCCTTCGCCAGCCCGTTATGACTGTAAATAAAACCAGGGGACATGTAATTTTAATTCTYACCTGAATACGAAGAATGCCCTGAAGGAAAGGACAGCCTCGCTTGTTTRATAAGAGAGAGATCCTCGCCAATGCAAACATCATCTGTGATGAATACCCCCGTGCAGTTCAACCAGTTTATGTCAGGCTTGCAGACAGCGAGAAAGTGAGGTCTGAGCCGTCCACCTGCATATTTCCCAACGTCAGTGATCAACGTATTTACTGCAGCACCAAAGAGAAAGATAAATGCTATTTTGAGTATTCTTAGAGCAACAGAGTTCAGCTTAATCGGACCAACATACAAGACACGGCCCACTGATTTCGCATGACCAACTCTCTGAATCTTTGCGTGATGTTGTAATAATTCAACGACGATAAATGAAATTCCTGGTAAAATTAGACCAACAGCAGCAGCAACAGTACTAGACACTGTACTTGGTTTAAAAGGCTTCTTGATGGACTCATCATCACAGTAAAAACCCCGTTTGTATGGCACACCAACAACATGCAAAACTACGATGGGAACAAACAATGCAAGGAAGCAAAATAAATCGAGGAGAATCCACTTTGGAGAAGCATTTTTTCTGTTGTATTTGCTCTGAAAGCTCGTGTATTGGTCGTCTTGCCCAGAAAGCTCGTTATTACTACTTTCTACGTTCCCACTTGTAGACATCGTGAAAGATGAAATTGTTCTGGGACGGGATGCCTATCAGAAGCCAGACCGCTGTAAACAGGAAAAGGAACGCGGGCGCGAGAGTTTCAAAAGCAATAAAAATAAAATACATGTAGATGTAAATTACTGAAAAATTTATGTTGTATTCCGATTCCTGTTAATTTTTTTTTTGTTATCTTTCTTTAGGACTTTATTTGTTTTAGATTTATTTTACATGAAAAGYCACGAAATGTATAAACAGAAATTTGATTGGCTGAGGGTCTAGATAAATTGTTGACCAATCAAAAATACTGTAAGATCGCACACGTGTGACAATATGGCCGATGCATTCTGTAAATTTCCAGTTTTCTTCATTTTATGTCAATTTTAGGGCCGCATAATGTCTACAAGACTTTGCCTTTCCTTCGAAAGAACGCCGCAATGGTTCAAGAATAATAAGCTGCTTTTTCATTTCGACAAGTCGACGTGTAGAATTGTTGGTGACTTGGAGTACTTGATTCGGAGAAAGTTTGCAATAACTTCAGTTTGTCATTTATATTTGGATGGGTATCTTCTTCCTTCTCAAGAAAGTATTGATCTTGTGAGAGATGGAGATAACTTAAGGCAAGAACTGTGACTTGAAACAGAGTTAGTAGAGGAGTAGTAGTCTCCTCTACTAACTCTGCTTGAAATGACACTTGGAATTTCACATAACTATACATGTAAGATCATTAAGATGCGTATCGATTCATGATCATTTTCTTTTCTTTTTTTCATTTTTAGAGTGGAAAATGAATCTTTAAGCTTATATCATTCAACAGATGACAATAATGAGAATGGTATCCTCCACAACACAGGTATCCCAAGTGATATA